CAACACCTTGAATTAGACCCGGAAGCAAACTGGTACCCAATGCAGCTTGCGGAGCAACGGTGTTACATGGGCCCTTCTCGGGGCTCCAAAAATAGACCACGCAGCCGCATTCTGAACCAGCTGTAGCTTCTGGATAGTCTTCAAGGGTAGCCCCATGTAGAGCACATTGCAGTAGTCTATCTGTGAGATAACAAGGGCATGAGTGACTGTTCGAAGGGCATCCCGATCCAGGATATACATAGGATATATATAGATATACATAGCAAACTTTAAGAAAGATTTTCTCTAGAACATACAGATAATGATTTGCATTTAATTATGAAGAGAATACCACTAAATACTTCAAGAGCACAAGCTTTGGAATGATGCTTCATTTCTTGATTCTAAGAGCTATGTAACCTTCCTAAATCATGTCCTCCAATTTTAAATATATTTAAAACCTCCAATTTTAAATCTAAAGACTAGTAGAAGGTTCACTGGAAGAGAAACACTCTGTATACTACAATTAGATTATTTTAGATTCATCAAGTCCTTAGTATCTGAAACCAGTATCTATCCGAAAGATCCCAGAGGTAAATGCTGGCAATCTGAAACAATCATTGTGAGATATTGTGTTGTGCATCAAGACCCAGGACAAATGTGAACAATTACACTAAACAACAAATAAGAGTATACAAAACTGAAAACAATTAATTTTCTTTTTCTGAGCAATATGACTACAGTCTGCGTTGCTTCTGGAAAGCAGCACCTGGAAAGCTGGTAAACCAGCTGTACTCGTTTTAAAACTGTTTTCTGGTTTTTTAGGGAGGGAGAATGTCAATGTGCTTTCAGCTTGATCCCCAGCTTCAACAACAGGGGTAACTTTTTGCCCTCTGCACAAATATTAAGGTGTCAGGGATAAATGTCAGGTCAGTCAAGTGCACATCGCTATAAAACTAGTCATCCACATGACTGGGTCAGGGCAGAATTCAGGTCTGTCAGGTTTTTCAAAGATTTTTCAAAAACGTCTGTTTAAAATGTTCTGCACCCATTTTCATTCTCTAACACACATAACTCTTATGTGGACTTTCTCCTAATGTGCAGAGCTTTTGATGTACATTTCTCAAGCAGCCTGTTTTTATATAATTCCTTAACACTATTCTTCTTATCATAAATTATACCAAGGTAAGTTCTTGTTTAAAATACCACTCTCTTTTTATATGCTACTTTCACAACACATGTTCTTTTTCATGCTCATATCTCACAAAAATTAGGTGTTTATAGTGTTAATTACTTTGTGAAGATTGTTAAAATAATTTACACTTTTTAAAAAATATTTTAATTCCCTCCCCCCTGCCCATGCTATCTTGGGTTGAGAAAAGCAGCATACAATGAAGCTGTATAAAGCAGCATAAAATTAAAATTAAGGTCAGTACATAACCATGGAGAAAATCTATCTAATCACTAGCTGTGGTTTTAGAAACAAAAGGAAACAGTTTTCAATGATTTTTTTTTACAGCTTTGCTCACTGATTTCAAAGTGAATGAACATAAACTTTTTTGTGTGTAGGTAACTGCTTCAAGCATATGCTTACAAATAACTGTTTCCTTTATTCTTACTCTGCTCAACTAAAAAGTGAGCAAATGTTCTTCGGATATTATTGAGAGGGTTTATGTAATTCAAGTATTCCAAAGTTATAAAACAAATAGTTAATGAAAACCATTCAACAAGGCCCTTTCAAATCAAGACTCATTTGAAGAAAAGTGAAAATTGAGCCTTCTTCTCTGGTTTTCTTGACCTAAAGAGGGCATCACAAGATGTTAAGTTAGCTACTCTGAGTAGCATCAGCTTAAAATGGCCCAAGTGGCTGGCTAAGAAAGATCTAGGGATGAGAAGGCGATCAAAACAATAAAAACAATAAAAACTACTTACTGAAAGGATTAACTCCTTGCCTTTTTCCATGTGGAAAACTGCCAATGCTACCTGCAAATATAAAGAATATTAACTCTAGATATTGGTACTGTGAATGCTGTACATTTTAAGAAATAGAAAGACTAATCTGCCAATAATGATAACTGAAATTCTTCAAACTAGAATTAAGGCAGAAGTTAAGAAGAGCATTAAACCAATTTCTTGCCTGTGTTATTTTTGTTTTAGAATCCTAGTAAATGTAAATCCATATAATCAGCAATTACTCAAAGAACATCACAATGGCAATTTCAAGATAAGCATCTATTTTACTGATATCTGAGGAATAGCAATGAACTTATTACATTTCTTCACAATAGGAACTAAGTGGCTTTGCCTGCATAATAAACTCATTAATATCTGTGGAAAGATAAAATGGAAACAGCTGGGCAATTCTAAATATGGGAAATATCTTTTCATATTAATAAAGGATTTTGTTTAATTTTTGCAAGGTGGTATGTCTCCAGGGTAAAGATAGATTGAGGCAGGGAGAGCAAGAAAATTGCCACTAGAGATTATTTCTGACGTCCTCAGCTTCAAATAATAATTGCACAGGACCCAGCCCTGCCTAAGGACAGGTCTTTAGTTATATCCTAGAAGGCAGAAGGATACAATATATACAACCTGGGAGATCCATGATCAAATTGCACAAGTAAATTATTTTTACTTTATTACAGGCTGGGGGAATCTGTATTTTAGCAGAATGCCTCAAGATGGGGCTTGTTTAATCTTCACCCTAATGTATCATGGCCTCAATCCAAAAAGAAAAGAGAAAATAAGTGTAAACAAGGACCTAAATAGCATTTGAAAATCAGCTGTAGAGTTGAAACATCATCATCATCATCATCATCATCATTATTTTGGTGCCTTCCAGACAATCTTGACAACTACCTAGACAGGTACATGAAGTCTTCTCGGCAATCTTTTTCAGAAGTGGCTTGCCTTTGCCTTCTTCCTAGGATGGAGAGAGAGTGAGTGGCCCAAGGCCACCCAGCTGGCTTTGTGCCTAAGGTGGGACTAAAACTTATGGTCTCCCAGTTTCTAGCCTGGTGCTTTAAACCCTACACCAAACTGCCTCTCTTGAAAGACATTACCAGGTATAATAAGGTTAAAAAAAGAATGGAACTACTTCAAGGAAAATACGCACTTAAGAAAAGAAGGAGATCCTGTCTCCAAATGACCAAGATTATCAGCTTATTCCAGGCCACTATGGCTCTTTTCTTCCCTTAGAATGACTGTCCCTCATGCATCCTCCCTCCCCCCTCAAAAAAGCCACAATTCCATCAAAACAAAATGATGCAATTGGACAATAATGCAAGTCAGGCTGAATTCTAAGTTGTTAGTTCAGCCACCACAGCAACGAGATTCCTAGAGAGACACCAACCTCCTTCCTTCCTGACCCCCAAGCAGCCCTTCAATTCCTGTAGTGAGATGGACTTGTCTTTGTTGAGATCACAGTAGTCAGTGAAGCGTCGCGTACATTTCTTGGGCTTGGCTTTCTTCTTCACATAGCGCTTGAAGGGCTTCATCTCCCTTTTGTTGATATCGCTGCTGTTATTGTTGTCCAGCTGACCGAAGTACCAATGTACCACCCGCTCCTCCAGGGTATGAGTGGGATCAGGCTCAGAGAACCTTGGAAGTAGGAAGACTCATAGCAGTGCTGAGCTAGATTTTTTTTCTCTCACATATACACACATAAAATACAAACACAAACAGAATCTGGTAGCCAGATCCTTAACACACTCATATCCTTATAATTAACACTGTCCAATGTCTGCTTCTAGGGATACCTGGACCTCTTTTTCCAGAAATGTTTAGGGCAGCTTTGCATGACTACAAGAGGCTGAAAAAGACACAAATTTAAGCAGCTCCTAATTCAAGGTAGGAAATCTAGACTTCCTAATCCTGCCCTAATTATGTTTGCTAATCAAAATCTCAACAGAGTAAGGAATGTGCACATAACGGACATTTTATTATTTGTCAGATTTCTAAAGCCACCCAACTCCATACTTTATCAAAGAAGAAAATTGTTTTAGCCCTATAATATCTGGTTCACACAATGAGCCAAGCAAACCAAGTTTGGTTTAACTTATCATGTGATCTGAGTAACAGATCATATGTCCAAGTTCACAGACTAAATTGGTCTCTCAGATCTACACCAAGGAAAGCTTCTATGCCTCAAATCTCAAAATATGCCTCAAACCTCCAAACCTCAAACCTCCAGAGTCTAAAATATGAAGGCTATCATTTCATCATATGGCAAGAAACCAGTGTCTTTGCTTGATAGATTGATACAAAACACAGTAAACTGTCTTTAAACCAAGTTTATTATGCTGTTAAATATTCTGATTTTAATTCATTTTTTTTAAAAATGAAGAATTCCCCTTGCCTAGGTAAGTTTACATCTATTTTAAAATCTGTACTCTGGATACAGTTAAGATTATTTGATCTGCCTATTTTTGTTTTTCCTGACAACTCTCCTTGAGTTGCAATTATTTAAGTTAATGCATATTATGTATGCATGTACAGTGCATTCGGAAAGTTTTCAGACCCCCTTCACTTTTTTCAATTTTGTTATGTTGCAGCCTGATACTACAATCATTCATATTTTTTCGCATTAATTTACACTCAGTACCCCATAACAACAAAGTGAAGACAGAATTTTAGAAATGCTTGCAAATGTATGAAAAAGGAAAAACTGAACTATCACATTGGCATAATGTTACAGCTGACAATGCATACTGTATCAGAGCAAAAGCCATGAGGTCAAAGGAACTGCCTGCAAAGCTCAGAGACAG